GATATTGAACTTTTCGATACGTACTCATCACGATATTTAATCACAACGTCTAATAATGTTTGCATTTGTTTATACACTTTCGTCGGAACTGGCTCGTTTTGATAATGTTTATGTGAATCTTTTAGTTTACGTTTTCCACTTCTTTTACCGGATTTTGAATCAATTCCATCAATGTCACGGTCAAACTGTCGTCCATCGAGATCGTCGTGCTGACCGTCATCATCATCGTCAACATCCTCATTCAACGTACGTCGTTTACGTCGACGTTTTCTATCATGTTCTAGGGAATTTAATGTGCCATCTTCCACAGCCTATCACAAAACGGAAAATTAATCGATTGAGACGAGATTGGAAAAAACTCGAACGCACTTTCAGCCATTCTTTTTCGGTTAACGAATCGGAATAGTCAACTTCTTTTCGTTGCCGTGAACCTCGTCCAAGTAAATCGAGTGTTTCCTGATCGAGCAATGCACTTTCCAACTCTTTTGGATCTTTTGTTAACCATGATGGCAGTTCGGATATTTCAAACAATCGTGACTTTCTATTGGATAATCGAGCTTCAGCATGTCGACGTTCGCGATCCATTCTCTAAATCAACAAAATGAAGTTTCAACAAATGAAATTACTCTGCATCTCTCACATTGAAAAGATTGTATTCCTCTTCAGATCGTGCAATCATTTGATTGATAACTTCGTCATCTGGAGCTTCATCTTCTTCTTCATCACCTTCCTCCGTTTCTTGTAAAAGAATTTGTTGTAAAAATTGTCGTCGTTCGTTGCCAGTTGATTTATTGTTGAACATGCCTGCTTGAATAACTTTCTCATCAACGTTCAATTTGTAACGTGCAGCAGCTAAGATCTTCTCTTCAACACTATTGATGGTCATTAAACGAAGTACACGAACTTCATTTACTTGACCGATACGATGTGCACGATCTTGAGCTTGTAAATCCTACAATGAAGCATATCATAAGAACTGCTCGGTGCCAAGATCAATCAACGTACTTGATGTGGATTCCAATCCGAATCGAAGATGATAACTGTATCTGCTTTTTGCAAATTCAAACCCAAGCCACCAGCACGTGTCGACAAGAGAAAGATGAATATATCTGAATTAGCTTCGCTAAATTTTGCTAATAAATCCCCACGCTCTTCCGACTTAGTCTGGCCATCCAGACGTAAATAGGTAAAATCTACAAGACTCAAGTGTAAGCAAGATATACCCAAAGCAGATCATTCGTATACTTTTGTAAGCAAAGTAATCTTCCATAATAGTCATCAACGAAGTCATCTGACAGAAGAGTAGAACACGATGATTCGTTGCTTTGAATTTTGGTAGTATACGATCGAGTAGTTCGAATTTACCTGCTGCACGATAAAGATCAGCTCTAGAAGGAAAAGTATTACATTGATTTGAGAACGATTCGCCAGGAGATAAAGTTTTTCATACCCCATACAAACACTGCTTGAATAGTTAAAATGTTGACTGAGCTTTTCCTCAACTTCATTGAACATAAATGGATGATTGCAGATTTTTCTTAACTGCATGATAGTATTCATTAAAGCCTTTGGATTGCTTCCTTTACCATTCTAAACGAGAAAGCAAAAATGCGTCAGCGATAAACCTCCTTAGTTGTAACATACTTTGTCTTCGGTTAAGAGCATGCCAGTAGATTGCATTTGATTATACATAACTCTTTGTAACGCAGACATATCACATTTGATAACATATTCAACCTAAATAGGACATTGATATTCGACAGACAGGAGAGTTTTGTTTAGTTTACTTTATCAGGTAGTTGGGATTCGACTTCTTTTTTCAATCGACGTAGAAGAAACGGTCGTAAGACTTTGTGCAGACGTCGAATAATAAGGAGAGTTTCTTCGGGATTCAATTCAACTTTTTCACATGTCGTTGCGAACGGTGCGTTGAACCATTGTTCGAATGTCGTACAAGATTTAAAGATCGACGGCAAAAGAAAGTTCAATAGAGCCCATAATTCAGGTAATTTGTTTTGTAATGGTGTACCAGTCAACAGCAAACGATGAGGAGCGATGTAGTACGTGTTGAGCACTTGAGTTAATTTACAGTGATGATTTTTCATACGATGACCTTCGCTAAAAAACAAGATGATAATGAAGAAAAAGAAAGAAAGAAAGTTTTTATTACGAACTCGATAATCATGTAACGCCATTTTATTTTTGCCAAAAGTGCTTTGTCTTTAATAATGTATTCATAGGTGGTTAGAAGTACATTGAATTTGCCACTGCGGAGAGTTTGACCAAGAATTTTACGCGTCTGAGGATTGCCTTTGAAAATAATAGTCGAAACAGCTGGTGACCATTTACCGAATTCGTTAACCCAATTCGCTAATGTTCTAAAAGACGAAAACGAATACAACTGACAGTTTTCATTCTTCATAGCTTACGACAAGGGTACGATGATCAGATAGGGTCCGTTAACTTTTTTCACTTCCATTAGATATGTGATTAAAGCAATTGTTTGAATTGTCTACAACAGAAAAGACATATGAATAAACTGTGACGAACATCATCCTTGAAACAAAGCGTGTCTACAATGTACTCGATTTCACTCTCGCTAAAGAACAAACGAAATTGACAGATGTCAAAAGATACGTTTTGACTAATATCTATCAATTTACAAAGGTCAACGCAGTGAGATAGAAGATCTGACAAACCACATTACTTACTTTTCCGAGACCCATCTCATCAGCTAGAATTCCATTTAAATGGTTATTGTACAATGAAACAAGCCATTCTAAACCTTGAATTTGATATGGTTTCAGAATTCCGCCGATGAGCAATGATGATTGTTTCGTTACGCGCTCACGAACCCGATGTGCGACAGCATAATACGAATCAGTTGATGATGTATGATACTCATCATCGTCTGTAGCTTGCTTGGCTTTTGTTATAACTTCCTTAACGATATTATCATCTTCAACAACACCTTTCTCTTGTTCTTCAGGTGTTGGAACTGCGATAGGTGTTGCTGTCGTCGTTGTTTCAGGTAAACGTGATGTATCATCGTCTTCATCATCGCTGGCATCCCTTGGCAATGGTTGCCATCCTGGATTTTTCTCTAGCCAGGCATCTAGCTCGGATGATAATGGTGCATCTTGTCCTTCTTTGATTTCACCTGTCGTTGAATTTTTCACTTTAACACGTAAACAGTTCACATCATCTGTCATTTGTTGAACGTCTTCGGTGTAATTCTGTTTCTTCTCCATCTTCTTCTTTTTCAAATCATCTTGATGCTCTTTGACAAGATTCACCAAACTTATTATGTACGCATCGGTTTGAGATAATAGATAAGCTAGACGTTTGTCTTTCTTTTCATCGATCAGTTTTCGATAACCGTCTTCGTCTTCGTTCATTAAACGACGCATACGTTCTCGATCGCGTTTTTCCTGTTCTTTCTTTTGCTCACGTTCTGTATTTTGGTGCCAAGAAAGTATCGATCGTGCTAATTTATTGGTTTTCAATTGAACCGACTTATGGAATTCTTTGAACTCTCGTGCAACTGTTACAACAGCACTGAGATACTCTTGATGCTTTTGTCGTCGTTTACGATCAATCTCAGCTCGTTGTTGTTTCTCTAATTTTTCTGTTGCACGTGCTTCACGCATGCCGAATTGTTTCGAACGTTTGTATAACCGGGGATTGTTACCTGTTTCGAGACTGGAGTCTAAACGCATACATGTGACGACTTCTGTGCGAAGCTGAAAGAGAACAACAGGCAAAGAGAATTTGAAGATTTTCGTACGAGTATAATTAGACTAACCTGTCGTTGGAAATTCAATAATTTCAATGCTTTAAGTTCAATCATGGCTCTCATTCGTAAATCAGTTTGAATCAGTGTTGGTAAATAGTTTTCTAATTCACTTATTCGAACAACGATATTATGTTGAATACGAAGATCACGTTCAGCAAGAACCTCTTGCATATCTAAACCAGTTGGTTTCTGGACTGGCGTTATGCGAAGATTAGTTGGACGAGTTGTTACAGTCGAATTATTATTCAAGGAAACACTTGACACGTTAGTGAGAACGTTCTCAGTTACCGATGGAGTTTGACTGATAATATTTGTTGAAGCTTGAACAGTTGCGGATGGATGATAATTGTTAGTTGTGGTCGTATTACTATTCACTTGTACAGGTGAATAGTGTGTTTGTGTGCCGGGAAAACGTGGAGTTGTGCCATTGACTGGCGGTTTGATTGTGTTGATCGTTGGTGAACTAAACCGAGAGTCGGATGTTTGTTTGGAAATCACAGCATTTGGTGGATAGAATTGTGTTTGCGGTTGTTGACTTCGTTTGATGACATTCATGTGTTGCTCAGGCACGGTTTGATTTCGTGCGAGATATTTATATGCATGAATTTGATGATTGAATAGATTTAATTGTGTAGAGTTCATCGTCGCCACTGACGATGAAGAATTCGGATCTGTTCCACCAGAACTTGACATGTAAAGTGTTGATTGTTGTGAAGGTAATATCGTTTGATTCATCATGATTGGCCGTCAGTTCTTGCAAGACTTTGTTGGATACTTCTGCATGATATGAAAACAAGATCTAGAAATAGAGAGAGTTTTACTGGGTTTTATACAACTATTCATGTAGAATGTGTTTCGGTTGTCTGTATGCGCTCTGGGGCTTTTTCTGTCTGAAGCGAACGAATGATGGTTGCGCACTTTATTCTACAATAATCACAAGGTTAACCAATGAGAAAGCGAGTCGAAATAGATGGCGCGTGATGTAGATAAATACAGCGGTCAAGAGTTCATTCATAGAATGTGAGTTGAACTAGAAAAAGCAAAACGAACAAGAAGTTGTCTGTGTATAAGCAAGTTTAAATTGTCTGATGGCAGGGTTTCTCGGCGACTTGCTGGATAGAAAGAGATCCAAATGTGAAAACAGATAAGTTTCTGCGGTGTTTATTTCAATTTTTCATAACAAGAAAAAAAACAACACAACAATTTAGTTTTCATCCATTTCATCGTCGTCGTCGTCGTCTTCACTTGTTTCGTCGAGTTCACTTGCTTCCGAGACACATCGACTGCACTGACACAAAAATAAATAATTTTCCCTAAAATGAAATCACGGATGAATATTCTTCAAAACTATCCTGATCAATTGTTGTTTTGTACGTACTGAAGAAGTTTCTGTCTAGAATGTCTTGATCGATTTCTGTCACATTCAGACAAATAGTTGATTGTTATTTCCTGCAAAAATATCACGAATCTCAAATATACAATCTTACATCTAACAAACTTCATTGCTCGATATCGATCGAGTAGCAACAACAGACAGAGTCGAATTATTATGTCGATATTGTATCTCGGCATTCGCATCACAACTATGATTTACTGAAACGAAACAACAAACATAATATTGATTAGTTTTTCTAGTCACACTTACAACAACTTTGTAGTTTGAATAATCCACTTCCTTCGCAATCGATAAATTCACCGGAAACTAAACAGACAGTTCAGAACAAAGTCTTCTTCAGTACTTTCTTACCGTCATCAATCTTTGTATAAATCGCATCAATGAGTTGCGATATATCACTACTTGCAGCAGCAGCAGCTGCTGCTGCTGCGACGGCTACAGCTTGTTCGGTTGTTGGTAAATTCTCACAATTTTTTACCCAGACCGCCAGTGGACTTGTCCCAACACCTTGTTGATTTCGTCCAAGTAAAGCTAATAGTTGTCGAAAACCATCTGGTGTGAGAAACCACCGAAATTCTTCGATTTGTATATACTGTTCGTTGAAATTACTCAATGCTTGTCTTAAATGTTCCACTTGAGACTGGAACAGGAAGAAAAGCGAAGTTTTCCATAAATAGCTATGTCATATGGACTTACTTGAAATTCTTTCCGTAGTAATTTATGGTAGAATCTCTGATTTTCACTCTGGACACCCTGAGAAAACTTCTGAAGCTCTTGTAGAAGTAATAATCGATTGTTACTCTACAAAGACATTCTTTTCTGTTGTCAGTAGTAGTTTTCGTTTTCAACTTGCCTGTTTAAGCATAGCCATTAGTTTAAGCACGAGTGAAATCGATGTTGTCTCGGGTGGAGGATGTGCCGATCTAATTCATTTCAATCTTTATAAATCAAACTTTATATTTTCGTTTTACCTCCATAAATCAATAATCTGTCGAATCAACTGAACTTTACTATCAGTTTCATCAGATTGACAAAGTGTTGAATGGTAACTGTTCATTGCTTGATGATAGCAGCCTGCTGAACAGTACATTTCCTATAAATAGCCAACATTACATAACGTTTTTCTCATGTTTCATGTCTAACATTGCATTTCGGACATCGAACAATTCGCTGACTGATTGTTTGATTAGGATCACATTCAGGATATGGAATAACGATCGATGTATCCTGGCAAAGGCGACGAACATTCTGCTCACATGATTCCAACGGGTACAAACAATATTCACACGCCTGAAACGAGAAGATCTTCTAGGTTTGCATGTGATCAGCTTTCTACCGAATATTTGTATAATTTATTCCATTCGAATTGTGCTAGAACAAGCGGTTGCTCTTCGAAAATCAATTCACCTTGTTGATAGTTTCGTTTCGCGATGATCTGTCGACCCTATTGTAAAACAACGAAGCGATTACATACGCACACTCATCAAATGTCATGCCTTGATTTGATCGATCGCAATCATATAATCATTTTCGTTTGTTGCCACAACGGAAGCCATCTAAAATCATAATTAAGACCACGATTTCTACATTTAAGTTCTTCGCTAATATTGATAAACATCTGTCGTGTGTTTGCGAAGGAAATTGTCAGTCTGTCTACAAATACTGTCGAGGTTTTCTTTTATTAGAATTCATATCTGATAAAACTTTCAAAATTCAAGAATGTTTGAGATAATCACAAAGAGAAAAAAAAACAACAACACAGACTCACGTTTTCTATTGCACGTCACAAATGAGTATACGCGTTTTTTGATTAGTAAAATACGAAACAAATATTTCTATCAGAACAAAAACACTTGACAATCACAACAGTGACCGAGGAAACGAAAAGCTTTATTAGAGACGATGCAGATGCTTCAATTCAACAGCTTTTTCTAAGATATGATGAATGTCAATATCTTGTGGATAGTTCTAAATGAAAGCAAATATCTAGTTAAACACATAGCTAAAGAACAGAATCGAACTTGTAATAGTTTGATATTCTGAGATTCCGATCCACTTAACAGTCGATTTTTTTGAAGACTAAATGAGAAGAAATTGAAGATACTATATGAAAACGAAAAAAAAACGTTCGCCATACACAATCATAGCACAGCAGATATAGAGAAGAAACTCAAAATTTCTTTCTTGATCAGCAAATAACGAGTCCCAAATACGCAAGACATCTGGCAAACGAAACTCTTGAGATAATAACAATGTCAACCAACGGAACGCATAGAATTCCGGTTTAATTTTTTGTTTTTCAAATAAATAATAAATGTCCGATTCAGTCCTTTTTAATAACATCAGAAGTCTTTGCATGCGAACAAGAATACCAAATTCGGAATGATCATAGATTTTCATAAAATTATCACGAATGTGAATCATTAAGTTAGTAAAACAATAGAATGCATCGGCCTCGGCATGTTCTAAACATATATGAAAATTCAGGTTAGAATGAAATGCTGTTTCTCACCTCTCCATTCTGGATTGGGATCTGTGGCAAATGTGTAATAAATTGGTCCAATGATTTCATTCATTCCTTGAACATAACTCTGTCCGGAATTCAATTTGGAGAAAACGAATAGAATCCGTTCAACAACTTCCCAATGTGCTTCGTGACCATCTGGTAATAGTTGATATTCGTTATCATCGAATGTCGTTGACGATTGACTGGCTTTGTTCTGATATTCGAATTCGAGTCGACCGGTCAAGCGTGAGCGAGATTGAGATTCGACTTTGAGAGCAGTGGAAACAATACGCTTACGTAAACTTTCAAATCCAGCTTCTTGGTTTAAAATTTCAGCACATGCATAATCAGTTTCACGTTGAAAGAAAGATAAATCAGGACAAAGTCGCCTGCATGCATACAAACTCGAATGTTAGACTGAAATGGATTACACAGTTAACTCACCGAACATCTTTATCAATTTGTAGTAAGACTTCATTTTCTTTGAAGTAAACAGCCCACGAACTGTCTGGTGCAGAGTTTAACGGCTAGAAAAGAGTCATACGTCGTGAACTTTGAGATTCATGTGCGAATTTTTACATGATCGAGAACATCGGATTCTGTTGTTGGAGTTAAACCTGGCTTAATAATCGTTTCACGAATATAGCCACGATACAATTCCCTGTGAATACGGAAAAACGACAAAGAATCATTGGACTTGATCTTAACAAATTCTCCTACCGCTGTTTGCTCAGATGCGATGACCATTTCGTCCGATCGAGAACGAGATAGTTCAATAGAATCTTGATTATCAAAAACAAAGATGTATTTAAAAAACAATGATCTCAGCGAACTTTACCTTCCACGTTAAACTCCGAATACCGTTTTCTGCCGGACAACCTAATGAGAAACATCAAATCAGTCGAGATAGTCAAGTCTTTTTTTTTTGAAGGAAATAATTACCGTTAAATGCAAGAATTTTCAGTCTTTTCATATCAATCATATCGCATTTTAGCAACGATTCGAACTGTTCAAGCCTATGGACACTACAAAGTAATTCAAAATTGATCAAAATTAAGTCATACGTTTTCTGATAGAGTGCCATTTGTTCAAAATTTTAGAATTGCTAATGGTAAGTGTTTTTACTGCAGAAAAGTAGTACAAGTTGATAAGATGTTGCTGCTGACCAATAGGATATATGTATAGATGTCGTTGAATTTGAATTAAATTCACAAAAAAAGTACTTTTCTCTAAAATATACTAATCTAGATAAAAAAAGAAAGATAAAAGTCGATTTCTTTTTCATACAATCTCGAACTGACCGATAAGCCATTGGTCAGTCAATCGGTCATCCTTTGTCCATGTTTGAGGACAATTAATCACAGGAGAGCAAATCTCACCTTGTTTTGCGACGAAAACATGAAAACATCATGGAAGTTTTTCGGTAAAAGAAACACTTTTTCTAATTAAATTCTATTTTTATCTTCGTACTTAGCGTATTTCATCTGCGTATCAATCTCTTCGATCTATGCTGAAACGACGCCACGGTTTGATATGCGGGATAAAGATGGTATCATTTTCGATCCAATTGCGCCACGCGCAGGAGAAAGGCTAGTGGCCAAATGCACACTCGTTGGTTTAACTCCAAGCGATAAACGACACGTACGTGAATAAAGGAAATGGCATTCTCATTTTAGTCGAATCGAATCGAGCTCAACAGAGACGAATGATATTTCATTTCGCATAGGTTGAATGGTCATTGGAGAGATTTAATGATGGAAAAAATTTCACACTAGCTGTAGATTCTGATGTGCTGCAATTCAATCAACCTGTCCCGCGACTACAAGCAATACATGGCACAGATTCACCGGATTGGTATCTCATTTTTGATCCGCTCGATCGTGATGATATAGGAAATTTAACTTGTAAATAATTGTTAAAAAAACGGGAACATTTGAATATCGTTTCGATTGTATAGGTCGGTTGACTGACACAAATTTGCGTGATGTGTATTTAACGCGTTTTCTCAATGTGATTAGTACGTAGGAGAAGCATAGAAATGATTACTATATGAGTGAAATTCCATCTAGGTGAACCCGTGGTTTTAGAATCTTCAACAAAGGATATTGAAGTCAATGAAGGTGATTCTGTTACATTGATTTGTAATACTCAAGGTGAGTTATTGTATTTTTTCTTACAAAAGAGTATCATGTTCACGTATACGGGCGATTGATTCTTTTCTCAGGGTATCCAGTTCCGAAAATTGAATGGCAAAAGGCAGATGCGGCTCCTCTATCATCGGGTTACATTCGTCAAGTGGTATGTGATAAAAGCGAGTTTCTTTGAGAGGCCTAATCATACTTCTAATAATAGGGTTCACAATTACATCTACATCGTGTAACATCTCGTGATACAGGAATTTATAAATGCCTTGGTATGTCAAGTGTTCCTAATAGAAATGTTAATGATATTTTTCTTCTAGCGAGTAATTTGGTTGGCTTTGGCAGTGAATGGACATTGAAGCTTTCAGTGCGATGTAAGTTCGAATCAGTTCTGGATCATGTATAGGATTTTATATCTGTAGTTCGACCGTTTATTTATTGTCAAAATGAAGTTGGTCAAGCAACGGATTTTCAAGTCGATGTTTACATGGAATGCTATGTGCATGGTTATCCAGCTCCGAAGATTTCGTAAGATGAAACTACTTTTTTCCTCTTTCATTTCATTTCTCTTTTCATTTTGGTACCAGGTGGCGAAAAGAACGAAGTGCCGGTCTTCCGAACATGAAATACGACACCGATATTTGGAATTCGCAAAAATATTTAATCGAAGCTACCATTCCTGAAATGTCGATTTGTACCGACTGCATTCTCTCGCGTTTGACCATTATCAACGTCGAACAAGCCGATCTCGGACACTATTACATTAACGCGACTTCACCGAATTTTCCACCCGAATACGGACGAATAACACTCTACCGTAAGTTCATGTTCCCTTGCGACAGATCTACATTTCTCCACTTTTTTAGAAACACCTGATTGTCAACAATTTATCACACATCGAGACAACAAAGGATGTAAACGAATCTACACTCAAATCTCCTCGAGTGACAAACTCTTTCCACACTATTCGACATTCCATGTTTTTATTTCTCTTATGTTTATTCGATTCTTTTAAACATTCCATTTATTAGTCGATTGTTTTCTTTGTACTCTAATCTAGTATTCCGAATAAATGTCAGATAATTGCGACGAAATGGCTTTTATTGATTTTTATATGCAAAAAATGATTTAACAGATATGGGACAGAAAAGTAACAATAAAAGTTTAAATAAATTAAAGAAAAAGAAAACAAACAAGACGAATAATGGACAATTTACAATCTGTAAAATGCCACCAGATATGTATTGAAAACGGTGAGACAAACAGTTGCTTTTGTTATCGAAAAGAAAATAAGAAATACTCGGTATCTGTTTTGCTACACCATCCATTGATTAATTGTTCGAGTTTGACGATGGTGCTGGCGTTTCAGAAGAATTCTTGAGATTAATTTACGAAATTCATTAACCAGAAACACAGATGATGTTAAACATGTCAAATAGAACAAATCTAAACAAGTAACGATGAAATTTGAGGAGAGAAATGCGAAGAATACGTGTTATCTACCTGCCATACTCAATGCTTCTGTTTGAAAAACGTATTGTAGCGGTGGAAGATAGATCACTGCTAATTGCCCGACAATGGAAAGAAATACAGCGACGACAAAAAACCGATTCGAAAAGAGTCCAATTTCAAATATAAATTTTGTCTAAAGGAAGTATCTCGAATAGCAAGATTGACTAGGTTTGTGCTATTACTTGTGATCGACAACTCAGTGCGTTGAACATATCGAAAAAGACGAAACATGTGAATGTCATCGTCGTATCTCTTGGCGTTACTTTTCCGTCTCTCATCTGAAATCAAATGGTCGACATTCGTGTCAACAGATGAATGAGACATGTTCACATACTTCTGCATAGAAGACGCATAGAGTTCCAACAACAATCACTATCGCACTGGTGAGAATGTTTGCAATTAGTTTCCTATCGATCATCGGATCGGATACTCGCCGTGGTGGCTTTTTTAACACATCATGATCAACAGGTTCAACGCCGAGACTAAATTTTGAAGATGAAATTTGACAATGGTCTTTTGACAAATGAGAAAAACGAACCTTTGTGCTGGCGGACCATCCATGATAATATTAATCCAGAGAATTTGCATAGCATTCAATGGATTAGGAAAATGAAATACTGTTGAAAGTGTGATTAAACTCAAAGCTGCAATACTCCTGTGAAACGAGGGTAGAATTGAACTTAATTGAATGCAATCAAACATTACGTGCTCAATTGAAATCGAACAAAATTTCGGATATTGTGAAAGATTGCCTTTCCTTCTTCGATTGCTGCCCTGAAAGAACCATAATAGATGGTCTCTCTTCGAATTTTCGCGATTTATCTTACATAATTGTATAAAAGTCATCTTTGACAAGAATCATATCAGCTGCTTCTTTGCAAACATCGGTTCCTGTTTGTCCCATGGCAATACCGATGTCAGCTGCTTTGAGGGCAACAGCATCGTTCACACCATCGCCTGTCATACCAACAATATGTCCCTGTGCTTGCAAAGCCTAGAAAACAATGTCCAAAATAACTAAATCTACATAGTCAATATTCGTACTTTAACAATTGTTAATTTATGTTTAGGGCTAACACGATAAAAGATTGATGCTTGAGAAACAAGTCGGTGGATGTCAGCTGCACTCATATGGTCGAGATCTTCGCCAGATATGGATAGATCCGTCACATTGTAAATTTTTAAACGAGTAGCTAGAAGGAAAGATGAATGCATAAGGAGATCATATTGAATGAATAGCCACGTTTACCGATTGCTTTTGCTGTTTTTTCAGCATCGCCAGTTATCATCTTGACAATGACCCCACCAGCTTTCAATTGAGCAACGGCATCTTCTACCTGTGCACGTTCTGGATCAATGATTCCCACCATGCCGACAAATGTTAGATCTTCTAAAGATGAACCAGTAGCCATTGCCAAAACTGAAAACATAGAATTTGATTTCAATTGAATAAGTTGAGTCGTATAGTTTCATTTTTCGTACCTCGTAATCCTTTTGCGGCTAATTGGTTCGAATCTACAATGAATTCATGAACTTTCTCTTCGGTAAGCTGCACAGCTACTCCATGGTGTAAATATCGTTTTGATAATCTTAGTACTTGCTCAATCGATCCTTTCAGATACAAGCGTATTTCATTCTAAAGAGAAAAATTCTTCAACAGACAGAGAATAAATAAACAAAACAAACAGGATTATATTTAGGTGAACATTGCACTGCCATCCATTTGTTTTCATGAGAAAATGGCCATTCACGTTCACGATGGAATTGTTCACGGATATGTGGAAGATTCATCTATGAGATTTGTGATGTTCAAGCACGAGTTCATTTAAATAACTTCTATCTTACTTTCATAGCCACACAGATTAGAGCTCCTTCAGTTGGTTGACCGCGAAGTTGACAGTTAATGACTTCTGCATTATTGCAAACAGCACCTACCTATAATACAATAAGATGATTTTCTTCACTAGTACGGTAAAAATTAATGATATACTTCAACTATTTTGGATATTAATGGATGAGAATCATAAGTCACTCGTTCATGGTTGCACAAAACATCACCTTCACCATTATAGCCTGAGCCAGTAACCTATTCGATCAAAAGTATAGATGATCCAGTGCCATTCGGTATAAAATTCAAAAGTGTATACTTCAGCCATTTCTCCATCTGAAGTCAGAATATTCGTCACTGTCATTTCGTTTTTCGTTAATGTTCCAGTTTTATCCGAACAAACAACTGTTACACAACCTGCGAACGAAATCGATTCACTATAGATGATTAATTACTTCAAAAGAGACAATACTCAACCGAGTGTTTCAACAATAGGTAATTTCTTCACAATAGCTTCTCGTTTAGCCATACGTTGCACTCCTAATGCCAATGTAACAGTTACCACGATGGGTAAACCTTCTGGTATAGCAGCAACGGCTAAAC